CGCGACAACGACAACGACAACCCAGTTTACCGCAGACCTCGTTGTCCCGACCATTCATCTCGGATCATTCAAGTCTTATCAACTGCCCTTTGATCGACCACAAACTAATAATAATGGCGGTAATGCTGATTATTCCCCAAATGTCTACCTTCAACAGCGCCATTTTAATAATATCAATAATACACCATCGCGTTCAGCTAGTGCCCCATACCCTATTAACATGCCTACTTCTTCCCATAAACCTTATATTGCTAAACAGCCATCATTAGGTAACCCGACTGCCATGGCTGCCATTTCTAACTTGAACTCTTCCAACGCTGTAACGCCTTCCCCCAGGATGTTGCCATCTCCTGCTGTTCAAGCCTCTCCTATTCCTGTTCCTGTTCAACCATCCAATTACCCCCCTCAGACTCTCGGCCCGCCTCGTGAGCTTTGTTTGGAGTGCATGATGCGTGACGAGGATATGGCTGATGTAGATGTAACATCCCCCGGTGTTTGGGAAAGAGAGAGCGATGTTTGGTACCTTGAGCTTTGTAGAAGGGAGGAAGAGGAGGAGCGTGAACGTAATTTACATCCCAGCACTTCTTCAGGTATCAGTTCCTCTGCTAGTTGCTCTCGTCCTCGTGCTCGCGGTACCAAACTTACCGAGGGTAATTTGGTCGTTTGGCTAAACCTTGTGCGTCATATCTTTGTTTCTTCTTAGCCCACTCCTCTTACTCTAGCACCTGCCAATCGACAGAACCCGCCCGAGCCCGCCGCAAAACAACAAACACTCTTTGCATATCTTGATGCCCAGAATGCCATATTGGCCGCTGAGAACAAAGCGCGCATTCAAGCATTACAGGAAGCTCATCATTTAGACAAAAAAATGCGAGAATCTTATCTGGAATTACATCGATCGCCATATGATTTCACTTCTCCCGATAATGCCTCTATAGGTAACAGTAGCAAGGCTCAAAGCCCCAGTATCCGTGAAATTCATGATACAAAGAACGGTACCTTGAGGCGAGAGACGTCTCCCGCTGAGATTGCTGCGATGGACTCGAGGAGTCAGAAGACACGTAAAGTATCTCGTGATAACCTTGCCCAGGTCGATGCCAAGGTGGAGCGGGAAACAGCTCATTTCTATGGCTTGAACGGTACAGAAGGTGGATCTCCTGACCATCCTGTTCGCAGTCAGATTTTGTATGGAAGCACAACATCTGTTCCAATGCTTTCCAGTACTACTTCCGTAATACGGAACGTCCAGTCTATGTATATGCCTGACACATCCTCAAATTGGCAACAACCCTCAACATCTATCCGACCTGCGTCGATGACTCCGGATATTCTTCCAGGTTTCTCCTCTCAGACCAGTTTGACATCGGCCAGTCCTAGTCCTAAAAGACGATTTTTCGGTTTACGGCAATGGAGTGGCTATTTTGGGAGTAATGTTAGCCTTGCGCAAAGCGGAAGTATGATGGACATGCAGTAAGTTTTTCTTTCTTTTATTTCCTTACCGGCAATCTCTATAACCTTCTTTTACTAATCGACATTTTTGCCTTTCGTTCTAGTCTCGGCTTGGAGCAGGACAGACATGGCGTTTATATCCCTCCAGTTGATATTGGGAGCAAGCCTCCATCTTTACAGGAGGCGACTCCATGGCCTGGTATGGATGGACGCCATAGTTTAGATAATGGGACGATCGGGAGCGATAGTGCGAAGAAAAGACGTGGACTGAGTAGATTATGGAAAATGCTGAGCGGAGGATCAGCTAAGTCAAATGAACCAGCGTTACAGTCTCATAGACATGATTTGGACGAGGAGCCCCTTGCTCCCCCCCCACCACTATCGTATCTCGTGAATCGGGGAAGCATGCAATCAGAGCGATCCATTGTGACCGGTGGGCGGCATGCCTCCATGCCTAGCTTGTCATTCTCGAACACAGGCCATCCTGCTTCTACTTCTACGCCCCAACCTTCCAAGACAGCGTCTGCAAGAAGTCAAATGGTGGGACTCAGTTCACCTAGTGAACAGAGTAGTACACTACCATCTCCTACGGAAATACGCTTCCCACACCGAGATTGCTCCCCTGAAAGATCCGGCGTCGGGGCTGTAACCATTGGCGATGAAGAATTAAGTGATTCTAAGCGTAGGATGACTAGCAACTCTACCCGATGTCGGTCACTCTCGCAAAACAGTCTTGCCACACCCATTCCTCTCCCTGCATCTTCATTTAAAAGTACAATCTCGTCTCCATCTCCTTTAGGACCTGTCCCGATCGGAAATACGACAATAACTGGCAGTCCAAAATCTATATCAACTTCGTCTCCCACATCGCATGTTATGACCCGCTCATTTAGCGTGGATAAAAACCTCCCTCCCCTCCCCCCTGATGAACAGCCTGATTCGTCCGTTGTTCCTTCAAGTGTTTCTACCACTACTCCTGTCACATCCCTCCCCACCATATCAGGTTTGAAACCACCATTGTCCGAAACGACAACACCCTTCTTAACGACTTTTCCTATAGCATCACAGCAACAACCGTTTCAAGCACATCAACAACCCTATCTACTGGAATATCCATCATCAGGATTCAGAGCTGAAGAACCTATACGGCGGCAAAGTTTCAATGGTCCGATACCAAGGCCTAACTTGCCCGTTGGTGCCGGGCGAGCTAGTATTCCTGGTTTACGACAATACGCTTATGATGAATTTGGGAATGCTGTTGTGTCGACGCGAAGCCGCCATTCATTAGCTGTTGGACCTGTTGGTGTCCAATCCCTACCAAATGGAACGAAGCGGAAGACTAAGCTCGGAATAGGGAGCATTTTCGGGAAAAGGCAATAGCCTTTTCTGTCTCCACAGTCCGAGATGCTAGTGAGCGTTGAATTAGTCATTTATTTTAGCTCTTTCTTTCTATATATTTGGGTCGTTAGCCACTCTTTCCTTCTATCTCACAGAGTTGTCTACATTTCGCTTAACACTGCATTCGTTCATCTTTTTTTTTTTTCATTGGACATCAAGCTATTATTTTACTTATACTCAGGCGGACGACTTCACAAGCGCGAAACGTTTTCTGATCTTTTGCACTCATACCGTAAAATGCGCGAAGTTATCTGCATAAACAATATCTTCTGCTGCCTTTTGGAAATATTTTTTTTCGACAGTAGAAGACGTTGTATTCACTGCGGAGTTCAAATAAACATATTACATAAACGACTTTACGAATTCCTGTATGTCTGCCTCCAAAAAGCAACAAGAGACGGTAGCAACAGCGTCTTCAAGTAATGCTGCCACATCGGCAGCGGTACAACCGGCAATTACAAGTACTGCTCCTGTTTTAGCAACGACAGCTCCAGTTTCTCTAGCTGCCACGACTGCTCCCGTAACATCCACAGTAACCACCACTACAGCTCCTCAGACACAACATTATTATGCCCATCCGGGGTATGTTCCCTTGAATCTTGGTTCTTTCGCATAAAACTGATTTGTTTTGCGACTCTCGCGGTACTTCATAATTATAAGGACAAACTATTATTCGCATTATAGTTACGCTGGCTATCATCCCTCAACTTGGACTTCCCATGTGCAGGCCCACGGACGGACAACCACATCAACTCCTGGTGTTGCAACCCAGACAACTTTAGGAACACCTCAGCATCAAGCATATTATCAGGCTACTGCGGCTATTCCACCGCCAGCAACATCCAATCCTTCCACACATTCTACTGCGGTGAACCCAGCCCCTTCCCATACGCAGTCTCAGTCTCAATCGCAGGCGCAATCCCAACTTGACACGTCGGATATTGCGACGCTGAATGATGCCCTTGGATCTGCCGGTGTGGACTTACGTGCCGAAGAGGAGAATTTAAGACAGCCACATGGTGGGAGTGGTGGTGGGAGTGGTGGCGGGAAAGGCGCTGTATTGGTTGGGACTGGTGCCGGACGAGGGAGAGGCAGAAAGCAAGGGAAAAAAGTGGTATTTGATCAGACACATCTGGGAGCACGGATGAGAGGGGTCGCGTCAAAACATGGATTGGGTAGCGGATCTCCTGGTGTCGCCTCTTCGACAATGACTGGAGTATCGAATGGAATAGCCGATGATTCGATTGTTTATCTCACCCTTGCATTGCGTGCACGCCTTACGACGCTCATCGAAGCTATGATTGCTGCGGCTACGCATCGAGAAGAGACAGGATTCAATCTTCCAGCTGGATTATACCCCGATGGTACCCCCATGTGGTCTCAGGTCATCCGGCGCGATGTGGCGAAACAGCTAGCAGTGATTGAGAAGGTTGAACGGGAAGAAGAACTTGCCGCACGGCGAGAACGCAAAGCGCGAGAAACATACGGGTCTGCTGGAGGGGTGGGTACTGGCGCGGCTTTGGGTGCAGGCGTATTGCCTAGTCTTGACGATGCATTGCAAATGGACACGACAGAGGACGAACCAAAGAAGAAAAAGAAGAAACCTGACGGGCCAGGAGTTACCGCCAAGAATATGACGGAGGATGTGAGAAAGAAACTGAGCAATGCGGTCGCATCACAGGCAGCTGGTTTGTCAACGGGTAAATATGCGTGGATGAATGCCGGGGCAACAGGTACTACGATTCCCAAGAAGCCTGCTGTCACCGCCACTAGTTCAGGTGGTGGTAATACCTCGACGACGCCTGCTGGTGCGACAACTTCAAGCTGGAGCAGGCCCTTCCAATCCACGAAAAAAAAGGAGGAACCTGCGATTGAAGAAGATAAACGACGTGCTATCACACTCCGCGATGTTGTTTTCATAATTGAACGTGAGAGAGGACATGGAGGAGGACGTGGTGCAGCGAGAGGATGGACTTGATTTTTGTCCCATTATTCTGTTTTCATTCGTTTATTTTATTTGATCGAGCGTATGTGCGTGCTGCTTTCGCGATAATAACATTTGAACCGTTGTGTCACGGTTGAGAATTAATACAGATTGCTGTGGTGTTTAACCGTGTTGATCATAGTGGTCACTTCCCCGAATCTATACCGGCGGCCTGATGGTCTAGTAGTATGATTCTTCCTTCGGGTTTCTACCGCGCGTCTAGAATGCGCTCAATGGAAGAGGTCCCGGGTTCAATTCCCGGTCAGGCCCTTTGGTTTTTTGCTTTCTAGTAGAAGTTGACTTGACTTGAGCGGCCGGCAGTACCCTAGAAAACTGTTTTTTCATACTCCGAACGGAGGCAAATCTCTCAACCTCACCTCGTTCCCGTCGCCATTGTCACTTACGCAGCGTGTTTTTATATATTGTCACCTTTTTGTTTTCTGATCTATCTAAGAGGGGAAAAAAAAAGCATGTCAGGTGTCCGTCGTTCCATTCGTCATCCCCACACTTATAACGGCGCAATTCCTACTTCTTCGACCACCCTTTCATCAGCTGCTTCTCCTAGTACCCCTCCTCTTGCGACTCCTTCCTCTTCCACATCTTCGCGCCGACAATCCCGGTCACAAATTTCAGTTGAATACCACAAGGCATCCAGAGAAAGTATTCAGGAGTACACTGACCTGCTGACTGACGATAGTTTTCAAGCTGCTGTTGTTGCTGCCGCTAATTGGACTAACAACCATACCATGCATCATGATGACCTCGTCCCAACCCGTGCTGCTCCTCATCCTCCACCATCCCATCAGCATCAATTAACTCATCAACGCTCCCGCACTCCGACCAATGTGACACATCATCACTATAATACCCTTACAAAGTCTCGGCCACGGAGCAAAAGTCTTGATCCCCTTGCTGCCCCTTCTCCCACTGTCCTCAAAGTTGTGGATGCTGCCGCATCCTCGCCTACTCCAGTCCCTCCCCGTCCATCTCGGGCTAATACCGCCACATTAATCGACGTATATAATCCTGCTGCTGAGTCAGATTTCGACACTTTGGTCGATAATCTTACTATCGATACATCCATTCAACCAACATCCACTATAACAAGTGGAGTGTCAGTTCCTTCATCTGCAACGTCGTCTACTTTTCGTAGCCGACCCGGCAACTCATCCGCGCTTGGTAAGAACAAAAGGGGTTTCCTTAATATGCTTCCCGAATTCCTCAACCCTTCTTCAAACGGGAGCTCATTACGTGCCAACAAACCGGAAATCAGTACCCCGTACGATCCTGTTCACCTCACTCATGTTGGCTTCAATTCTTCCACCGGCGAGTTCACGGGTTTACCGAGGGAATGGCAACAACTTCTTCAAGAGAGTGGGATATCTCGTTTGGAACAGGAAAAAAATCCCCAAGCTGTTATGGAGATCGTCAAGTTCTATCAAGAGGATGTTGTGGGAGGCGGGAACACTGACGTTGTATTTGAGAAGATGGGCCATACCCATGCACCCTCTGTTCACACCTCTCCCGGTTTGGTATCCACGTTTCAAAATCCTAGATCTCCGCCTCCAGCACCTTCTATTCAAACAAGCAAGCATACTACCCCAGTTACTCCGACACCCTATAGGTCACCACCTCCACCCCCGTCAGCAGGATTAGATAGATCCTTGTCAACGCGTGAGCGTGAGCGTGGATCGCCAAGATCTCCTCCCCAATCCGTTAATACCTCAACCACTGTACAGGCTCAGTCGCAAACCCAAGTTCAACATTCCTTGGGTCGCTCGCAGAGTCAGAGCCAAGCACATGGCTATCAATTTGGTAATAACACTCTCAGTACGGCATCTTCGTACGCTGCTCAACGAGAAAAAGAACAGCGGGAACAACGTGAAAGGAAGTATTCGTCGGTTCAAGCCTCTGCTAAAGAGAAACTTGTTGTCCCTATCACTGTTCATACCTCATCCACTACTCCAGCTTTAACGGCGCCTGTTGTATCGGCGCCGGCGCCGCCACCTAAGCCTTCTGCTCCCACCACTTCTTCTGTCTCTGAAACAGGACGCGCCGGTGTTGCGCAATATTCGAATGAAGCTACTAGTGGTTTACCATCCTCTGCGCCCGTACAAAGCACTCTCCCTCCTGTTACACCGGTGAAATCACAGACCCCAAGACATTTACCTCAACCGCCTACTTTTGCCCAGGGAGCAGCGTCAGTTTCTACTTCTAGTCATGTCAACCCCACTCCGACACCCAGACGTCGTGAGAAGAAATCGACTAATGGTGCAGGCGATAATCCTGATATCGTCAAGCGTCTCCAGGCCATCTGTTCCGAAGGAGATCCAACGAAGTTGTATCGGAATTTGATCAAGATTGGCCAGGGGTTAGTTCTTTCCTCTTTAATTGAACTTTGGCATTGACTTCTCCTGCTGTATCGTTTGATATCCTCTTTGTCACAGTGCATCAGGTGGTGTCTATACAGCTTATCAAGTAGGCACAAACTTAAGCGTAGCCATCAAGCAGATGGACCTAGACAAACAACCCAAGAAGGACTTGATCATAAACGAAATCCTTGTTATGCGAGCATCACGGCATCCCAATATTGTCAATTATATTGATTCCTTCCTTTATAAGAACGATTTATGGGTTGTGATGGAGTATATGGAAGGAGGGAGCCTAACAGACGTAGTTACCGCCAACTTGATGACGGAAGGTCAGATTGCTGCGGTTTCGAGAGAAGCATGCCAAGGTCTCGAGCATTTACATTCTCAAAATGTTATTCACCGGGACATCAAAAGTGATAATGTCTTGTTGAGTATGCAAGGGGATGTCAAACTTAGTAAGCGAACCACTTCTTAAACTCATCTAACACATGATGCTTACCATAGCTTAGCTGATTTCGGGTTTTGTGCTCAGATCTCTGATAATGCGAAACGGACTACCATGGTTGGTACGCCTTACTGGATGGCACCGGAAGTTGTAACTCGAAAGGAGTATGGACCCAAGGTCGACATCTGGTCACTGGGCATCATGGCCATTGGTATGTGTTATATAAGACTGGCTGACCGTTCAAATATATTTATATATATTCTTTATAGAAATGGTTGAAGGCGAACCGCCCTATTTAAATCAGAATCCCTTGAAGGCCTTATACCTCATCGCTACGAACGGAACGCCTACAATTGCTAACCCTGAAGCTCTGTCACCTACTTTCAAAGATTATCTCTCGAAAACGCTCGAAGTTGATGCTGAGAAACGACCAGACGCAACGGATGTTTTAAAGCATCCGTTTTTTAAGATGAGCGAGCCGCTTAGGACACTGACTCCGCTTATCAGGGCCGCGAGGGAAATGGGTAAAAAGTAGCCTTATTCTGATTCAATTGATGGGAACTGGGGCTCAGGTTATGAAAGCTTTTTTTTTTTTAAACTCTCTATTCTTTATCTCTTTTACACCCCTTCTTTTACCCTTCAGAGATTGAGATTGAGACGTCTGGAGTGACGGTGTGTATGCTCATCTGTGTTTGTATCTCGAGTCCTAAATTTGAGTTTTTTGAATGTCCTAAATACGGAATTGTATTTCTTCTACCTCCCTTATTATCATGAGCTTTTCAAGTTTCTTTTTCCGCCCATTTTCATTTGCCGTCGTCACTATCACATGGTTTAGATGTATTTTATGCATCCATTCCATTATTTTGAAGGACAATCATAACCGACACCATACAAATGGTGTTCTGAATTTGAAGTACTGAATGTTATACTATCCGATCGCTTGGTCATGTACACTTTTTTCTCTCGTTTCTATAAATGATCAAGCCTGCTTAGTAGTTAATTTGGTTGGTCACCGGTCTCAGTGAATGAATGCTCATCGGGCGGTGAAATTTGGATTGGTTGATCAGGCTTACGTGAGCCCGGGAATAGTCTGGAGGCTTGGCCCTATCATAGCAATGCGAGTCAACGTTCACTGGCAGTCCACTGCGTTGCTGTGGGACTTTCCTCCATGTTCCCATTGACTGTAATCATCTCAAATCTCTTTCTTCGTTCACATGATCAACAACCAAGATAAGACATTGTCGGCTGTTGAACATGATGAATCTGCTCATAAACGACGGTCAATGAGCACAGCACGGCCTGGGGGTTTTATTAGAACATTCGGGCTGGAAGAAGACAAGTTCCGGAGATCCTTGGAAATTAAATTCGTCGAGTCAATTTCTAACTCGGGGGAGATATCACATGAAGAAAGCTATACTCAGATTTTATACCAAAACTTAAGGACTAATGGGTGTCAATTGCAGGGCTCAGAAACAAGGCTTGTGAACACAAGTCTGGCTCACCTTACCACCACTGAATGGCTTTCGGGGATATTCTCCAAGGAGTGGATGGATGAGGTATGTATATACATAAGTATAACTTGGATTTGTAACTCTACTGAATTTAACACTCGATAGTTTTTTTACAAAGAAGATATGGGTACTAATTCAAATAAAGCTACCTTGACTTACATAAAACAGTTAACTTGAGAAACAAACGCAGGAAACTACGTGATTGATCGTCAGACAGGCAAGAAACTATGGGAGGCAATGCCCCTGTACGCCAGGATTGGTAATTATTTATTCCGTTTTTGTTTTGTTATTCTATAAATGTTGAACAGGCATGCACTTGATATTCCATGGGCCTTGTGCTATACGATTCATAACTTGGAGTAGGATTCAGAACATCCTGAAGCGGGAGTCCATTAGAGGTCAATTTTTCGGTCAATTTTTTGATACGCCTCACAGTCTGACTTATACCATAGAGGGCGAAATTTACGACTCTACAGACCCACCCTTGGTCCTTCATCAAATTACCAGTTTTATAGCCACTTATAACATCCGGCTTGATGAACTACTTGAACCCGATATTAGTAAATATTTAGTAAGCCTCCTATTCTTCCGAGTCATAATCGTCGTACGAGCTCTTCATAAATATAATATAATATCATTGCCATTTTGACAGAGCTTTAACTCATTCTTCAGTCGCCGGCTAAAGCCAGATGCACGCCCCCCTGCATTTCCGGATGATCCTTCTATTGTCAGTTCAGCCGCAGACTCACGTCTGACAGTTTTCAACTCCGTAGATGAAGCTACGAAATTTTGGTAAGGTTGAGATATATTCTTCAAACTTTCATTAACCGAATAATTAGGATAAAGGGGAAAGCTTTCACAATTGATACTCTTATCCAAGATAAAAAAGTAACGGCTTCTTTGGGTAAGAACCCCCGTCTGGCAATCTGGCGACTCGCGCCC